GTGACGCTCAGAATGTGTTCACAGCATCGAGGAATGATACCCTTTTGTGCAGAGGGACTTTCAATGCCTTCCATTGTGAAAGTCTTCCCGCACGAGGTTTGACCGTACGCAAATACTGTACCATTGTATCCATCAAGAACGCCATTTACAATCGGATGAACAATTTCAGAGTATATCGTTTCAGTAGAGCTTGAAATCCCATACACTCCATCGAAGGTAAAAGTTTTAGAGATCTTAGAGTCGTCCCATGGTCTTTTTATGCTGCACTGCTGCAACGAAGCATTTGTTTCTACGACAAGCCGTGTTTTCATTTCCCGCTCTTTTTCATTCAGTGGTCGACAACGAACAATGACTTTGACACTTTCGCTCATAATGTGCCGCAGGGCGGGAGGGGTAGGTTTTTTTTTTTTTTTTTTAATCACCAAAGAATCGCTGTAGTTCCAGTATGCGGAGCTATTTGATCACTATCCACGCCAATCCTACCCATTCCCCCGGTTCCATTTTTCACTTTTTCGTTAAGACTTTTTTTGAATCAAGTATCTGGTTAATAGAATAGAAGAAACAAATCAAAAAAGGTTTTTATCTTTGAATAAACGGAGAAAGGATAGTAAACTGCTTAGAGAAGTCTCAGGAAAATGAAACCTGGAAAGATTCAGGTTTTGATGGAGTTCCAATCAGTACACTTGCGCGTATTGATCAATCGCTACTTCTAACTGAAATAGAATTAAAGGATAGAAAAGCTGATTGTGGTACCCAAACAAGTCCTTTTTTTTTTAAGTAGATAGTTTTATTATATTATTTTCGAAACTTTTGAAATCCTCATCTTGAATGAAAACAGAACAGCTTTACATGGCCGTTAAATTACCGAGACTTTCGAGAAACGGTCCCCCTGGGTAGGTTTCAACCCTGGACATTTCGATCAGGAATACGATATAATAAGCCCAAAATCTCTCCCAAATTTGGGTGAAGACATCAATTCTTTCTTAACAAGAATGAAATCTTAAGTGAAATGATCCGAAGCGCAGGTACCTGCTCAGCGAAAAAAAAAAAACTTAAAAGATTAAGTAAGAGTGACATTTTTCAAGTTTTCGTCGAACTGGTTTGTTTATCACACTAATCTATGTGTTTCGAATAGATTTAAAGATTCTTTAGATTTTGTTTCAATTATCTAATATCTTGGCCTCAAGGTCAGGGTTTGAGTGACTTAACGAGGGTCAAACACTTGCAAGTGAAGAAACACAAACGAGTAATAGTATTTCTGATATGAATTGATTTGTGTACTTTACCAACACGCCAAGTACAATAAAGCATAATGAATTTGACAGTCTGGAAGAATGAAGCGTGTTAGAGCTTGAAAAGGGTGATTTTTTGCTGCTTGTAGACAAAAAATTACGCGATTAAAATTTTAGCATTACAAACTGTAGAATAAGCAAAGCTTCCGTGATGTTTCCCTTTGGAGATGTGTAGCGATTAAGTCTCCTACAGAGCCGCACTGTAGCAAAACAATACAAAACCGTAAAACAAAAAGTTTGAAAGCTGTAAGTTATAAAACAAATAATAAAATGATTCAAAATTTGGATTTTGCTTTCAATTTCCAGCAGAGGGGCCCCTGGTGGTATCTTTTTCCTAAAATCAACCTGGGTACCGGCTGTGTTATACCCGCTGATGCTAAGTTCTGTTGTCTTCTGGTACACCAAACTTTATACTTCACATGTGGAGATCAACGAGTCTGTATATTTTGTACCCGAGGCCTTAACAGTCATCTTTGAGCGAAGATTAACGAGAGGAGGCCATAATCGCTTAATTTACGCCAAGAAATGCAACAAGATACAGGCGAATCTTCCTCGTGTGCACTTGAAATGAAAAACAGTGCAAATCGTTTGACAGAGAACAGAACAATGAAAACCTACCAACATCTTTGCAGGCTTTGAAATAATCCATAAAGCTCAGTCAAAATTCGTCTTGTACGAGGATTTTACCCTTAAACAAATGACAAGGTAGAGATATCGTACCATCGACTCCCCGGGAAGACTCGAGAAATCAAATATTCTGAGAATCTATGGCTGAGTAAATTTTGTTGATCTCTTCGTTGAATTCCTTGAACACTTAATCAACGGAACACGCTTAGTCAAGTGTAATGTTCTGCAACGCTACACTTGACAATTAGTGGCCGTTACACAAACAAACAAAAAATTCAGAGTAGTTTTGACTCAAACCATCGTCAATTTGGCCAAGAAAACGATGGCTCAGGTACAGTGGCTGAGAGTTCAAAACTCTTGGGGAGGAAACCAGAAAATACGTTGCTGCGGCCTTCAAAGGTTCCCTTCAAAAGCTTCACAAAATAATTTCTCCTAAAATGTACCGCATCGGCGCTGAATCATAAAATGATGTGGTCTCGTTTCTAGCTTAAGGAACATAACAATAAAAAATAAATAGTCAAGATTACTTTTATTTATGAAGTGGCAGTTAGAAGTAACTCTTTATTCTCAATTTTTTTTTTTAAATTTGCCGTGTTTGTTGGATTGAAAGTCAAGCAGCCAAGCTTGAGGAACCACGCCTTCACAGTTGACTTGTACGTGACACCAATGATGTAATTTTTCATGGCTGATGGGTGAGATGTTTGAGCGATGAGATCTTCTTTTAACGCTGACAAAGGGCCTTTGAATTTCGAACTTAGGGGCAGTAAATTAATTTCGCTATTTATAGAAAGTTGGAAGGAAAATAAATATTCTTTGGTTTTGTGAAGCGACGGACAAAATTTCGCGTTTATTTAAACGTTATGTATGTGTGTATGTATGTATGTATGTATGTATGTATTTATTTACGAATATTTATACAGGGTAGCCCAGTTCAGCTAATCGCTGGTTTAAATGGAGCCCTGTCATACCCATCCATCCCACCCCAGGGGAGGACATCAACCACACAGTAATCTCGTGCGTGGGAAATTAACGTCTCCTACCCCTAACCCTGCAGAAGGCGGGGCCTACGGTTTATTCGTCCTTATCCGAGAAGACTAGAATATCTATCCATTTCTTGATATTATAGAAATGTAGCAAATTCTCCTCAGTTATTATAAGACTATGAGTATTGGTCCGGCCGGGGCTCGAACCCTCGACCTCCCGCTCAACACAATCTGGCGCTAACCGGGGGGCGGTTAAACGTTCAGAGAAGTCTTCTAGTTTTTTCTCTCCAAACCTAGACACTTCGTAGGGAACATTGACCAAAAAAAAACAGAAAAAAAAGCAGCGTTCTGCATGTATTTACCTTATTCTTTCGTTGTGATAATCCGTGCTAAGCGCAACTTGATCTTTCGTATCGATTTGTACTAAACTCTCAATAGAGACCAAGATAGAATTGTATGGCGAACGAGATCTCGGGAGTGAAAGGGTTGACATCGGCATGACCCCGTGTAAGATTGAAGCAAGTAAAGCTGAAACATGCTAAAGATAAAAAAATAAAAACCTTACAGATTTACAAGACGCAGCTGGAGATGCTGAGGTCTTTGTAATCCAGTTAAAGCACGCGCTAACTGAAATCAACAACAGGTCATACCGCGCTGCGCTTGACGGAAGTGATTGCTGTCAACCCTCTGAAAAAGTCCCTCCACATGGATAATTGAGTTAATGGCTTCCCCTGGGGGAGTATGGAGGGGGGGGCTTTTTAGGGAAGGAGGAGGTGGAGTGGATAAAAACTATACAAGAGCTTAAAATGCGAGTAATTATTTTTCTCTAAACAGTCGTGATGATTGATTGAATCACAGAGTATACATTTCTACGTTGGAAACCCCCGATATTAAGAAAGAAACGGAAAATAAACGAAAAAAAGCCTTCAAATACAAGTCAATTAAGGGGCCGACCATTTAACTTTTTAGGGGGGGGTGGGTGATTTCTGGTCATCAAGAAATTTTTTTTCTAACAATCTGCTGGGCAGGATATTTTTTCCGTTCAAAATGCTCTTTTTTTTTCTGCTACATTTGGGCTGCATGCAATTTTTTTTCCAACAAGCGCTTGCAGAAAATTTTTTTCAAAATCACCCAACCCCCCCCCTCAAGAGTTAAATGGTCCGCCCCAAAAGTACATTTTTCACTGAAAAGGAAAGGTGGAGGTTCTCCCATATGGTATTCTCTTCATGAAAACGTCAATGGACACAATAATGGGATGTGGCGAAAACCTCCATACTGTTTCTCAATCTAAGCGCTGAGACGAGTTCCACTTGATATCTTATTTAGGAGCAATTCTCTATCTTCCCAGGATAACATGCTGATGTTCTCTTGATTTTGTTTAGTGCTTTGCGCACTAGTTATTTCATAATTGGCCAGCGAGCAGGCAGGTACGGCTGTCCAGTCACAAATAATTGGGCGCTAAAGCCAATAGCGCAGTAGTTGCGGATTGATCAAAGAGTTTAAAATTTGTGATCGCATCAACTGGTAATGGCTCCGTGAGGGGGAATTTCTTAGCAGCTATCATATTTCATGAGAGCAGCGATCACGGGAAATAACATTTTGAAGTATTTTGGAAATTATGAAAACGCATATGAACAAATTCGTGCAATCTTTGCTTAAAATAGTTTTCCCAGTGAAACGATTACGATGATCTAAGATTTTTGCTGTTTAAAGATACAAATAAAAAATTGAGTGAAACAAAATTTGGGCAGTATTTAAATCTAAGAGCTAGTAAAAAGAAACTTTACCACCCTTTACCAAACTAATTGGCCACAATAAATTCAGCTGTGCTTATCTACTTCAGATTGCATCATTAATTACTTGATTATTTGTCAATACAGTTGACAAATAATCTCAACTTTCCGCGGTCAAATTTCACTTCCTGTAGCATTTGAGATCGATGAACGTTCTGTCAACCAATGAGCTTAAAAAAAACTTTATTATGTCTATTTTTCAACAAATAATGATTTGTAAATAGGATATAAAATTACTTTTGCCATCATTCAATTTGTTAGATCGTTTTTGGGCACATACATTTATGAATACGATAAAAGTGGAGCCCTTTGGTGCTTGCTCCTCGGTCGCACTCGCGCAAGGATCATGCTTGCTTGGTCAATTTTTGTTTATCTAGCAAATTCCTAGCTCGTTATAAACTGAATGTGACCGACCAAACTTGGCAACTCTTGCTTGCTTAAGAAAGAAGGCGGAGCTGCTTAAACTTCAAAAGAACCGCAGCTTAACCCACGGAGTGCTCTTGAGCTGAGCTTGATAAACAATTGACCAATCAGGTGAAGCATTGTTTGACAAATAAGCAGGCTGTTGTTCTTTCAATGTGACCAGATCCCACTTGCTCCAATCTCTAGCACATGTTTGGGTTTGCTTGTCTGACGTCACAAGCAAGCATGCTTCAGAGCGATTTCAAGAGCGAGTGCGACCGAGGGGTGTGCCATAATACTTCAGACGTACGCGTCTATCCAACAACAGGGATGAAATCCGTTGCATTTGCCCTTGTATATTTAGCAATTCAAGGAGGTGAGTACACCATTTCAGAATTCTCTTTGTTATAAATAAAAGGCAAAATTTAACATCTTTATAATGATATTTCCAAGGATGCAGTTGCTTTCAAACAACGTAAAAAATGTCATCGGTGTAACAATTTTTTTTTTCTAGCTTTTTTTTTTTGTTTTTGCTCTTTGAGATACTTTTAACTTAACCTAGGGTGGCAAAACTTCGCAAGGTTTTTACATTTGTTGTAATTTGCGAATAAACTGCCAATGATGCATTTCCTTGTAGTTCAAAATTTGAGAATTGATTCAATGCATTATAAACTGATGTCGGCTGTAATTTACCACCCTCTCACACAATTCCCGCAAACAGACCATGCACGTTTTCAGACTGACCATCTCTAAATCAAAATTAAAAACCCGATGATTGTAAAATGCCGTTTCCTGCTCTGTTTATCAACTGGTTGTGTGGTAGTCGGTTGCGTGCAAATTTTCAGCTGTTGTTTTATCGCGAGGGCGCACTGATGAAATACATTTGGGAAATTCATACATCTGAGACATATCCGGCGCACAAAAAAATACAAACAGGTGCGGTTAAAAGTTTTGATCGCGTCTCAACAAAGATATCTAGAAAATTTTTTACCTACATTATTCAATTGTGATGTTAATGAAGCTAGTAAGTTTTAGTATATACTAAAACAGTGGATAGCGTTGAAGGCGCGCTCTGATTGGCGAGTGAAACTCCGAATATCCTTTGCTATTTACCTCCGAGCAACTCGGGAAAAATGGCGTCTCGGTTTGCATGCGTGACAAGCGATGAAATCACTCAAATTAACGACGGTAGTGTATATTATCTCACTGTTTTAGTATATACTAAAAAGACTATTCACCTCAGTGTCGGTGGTTAGCAGTTGATATTTACCGAGCCGCGAAGCGGCGAGGTAAATATCAACCACTAACCACCGACACTGAGGTGAATAGTTGTTAATTATCTTTTGATAAGTGGAAGACTATCCATGGTACTTATCCGAAGGTCTTAGGTTCAACTCTATCAGGGAGCATACGGAGGAAAAGAATTCCGGCCTGTGTCATTTGCTGAATAACTTAATTTTTCATTTTAATATTTTAACTCCGTCTTGTTGTGATGAAGAATCGAGAGTGCGATTACATTGATCCAGTCTTCAGTAAACACGCTTCAGAAACGTTAGTGCTTGACTTCATCAAACCATTTCAATCATTCAATTTTATGTTTTTATATCTATTGAATCATATTGTTGCAAGCGAGTCTTAGGAGCCGTTTTATGTCTGTTTATAACAGCCTCTTCCCTCAGATGTTATGACTGCAGCCCTGGCAGCAACAGCACCACTGCTGGGTCAGCAGTCATCTGCAGCAAACCAGGACAGATTAAGGAATGCAGCTCAGGCTTCAATTCCTGTTCGATCATAAAAATCACCAGTGATGAATTGGACATGTATCTCCTCCAATGCTTTTTGAAATCGTTATGCAGTGAAGCGGAAAGGAACCGTTTCTGTGAAACGATAACCCCTCAATGTCTCCATGGTGCTAGCTGTGAAATGTCATGCTGTCAAACTGATTTGTGTAACAAACCCAAAGATTCCTTGGCCTCCCCAACCGGCGGCACTGACCTATTCAGCCCCAAAGGAGGTACGTCGAGTCATGTTCCGGCGAATGCCTCCACATCTGTTTTTCCGAGTGTGATAGCAGTGGCACTCGTGGGTGTGATTTGGACACTTTGCTAACAATTCGCACAAAGATAAGAAAAAGTGAGACCACTTCCTAATGATTGCAGAGTGTAATTCCGAAACGGTTTCCCGATGTGATCGGCTCAGTCAAAACTTATCAAATAAATAAAATCGCTCCAAGTTTCCTTGAGATAGACTATATAATCATTTATGTGGTGAAATAAAACTACAAAGCAAGTCTCTCCTTACAGATTAGACTTTTTAGAAGTTTCTCACAATTTGAATTCAATTTTCATCCGTACTCCTGGAATTTATGCAACGTAAGAAAACCTACAAATCGGCGCGCTTACTTAACAATCAGGCTTCAAGATGTTACCGAGGGTACGGGTGCAATTTCTACTGTCTTTTTTTTTTATTGAAGGGGAATTTAAATCGAATTTCTCACCGCGTTTCGTTGCCGTAACATCCTCACGGATTACCATAGTAACGGAGGCGAAAGCCTCGTTCAACCCTTAACTCCCATGAGTGACCAAGACAGAATAGTCCATTTTACAGTTGTGTGCTTGGTTGCCAAGCCTTTGAACGGGAGTGAGGCTAGGGGTGACCTTGACACAATACAAACCCCGCTGCCTTTCAAATGTAAGTAACTTTGTTATCATGCTAACTAGATACTGGTCTCTATCACAAGGTCACCTTCAGCCTCACTTCAAATCAAAGACTTGGCACTAAGTACACAACTGTAAAATGGCCTATTGCTCCTCAAAATGTCGATAGAATATTAAGCAAGCAAATGATGAGAATAGAGAAATATCTCAAATTCTTCAAACTGACATCATAAAAACTGTATGTCGGACAGTGAGTAGGATTACTAATGATTTCTGGGAGCGTGAGATTTTACTCTCGTCGGGGAAAAATACACCATCATTCCACCAAAAAACGCATATCAGTTACTATCCGCGCTGAAAAAGTTATATTTCTTTATTTAAAATCGTGCCAACTAAATGTACGGAGCAAAAAATCCTTGACAGGGAATTCATCTACTATATCGATTGATTTTTGGTGGAAAATTCTTTTCCAAACACTGAGGATTCAAGGCGCCGAAAAAATGTCAGCAAACAAACGGACAGTTCATTTCAGCCATTTGACGAACAAAATAAATGAAATTTACAAAAAAGCACACCATATTTGAGGACGAAAAGATAGACCTGACAACTCAGAAAAATACAGATCGTCATGAAAGGAGGTGTGCAAAGATCAACTATTTCTATCAAAGAAATGAAAGCAAAGAATCTGTATAACTAATAGGAGTAGTAGAGCAAGTTTGTAAACCGCGTTCGGGTATTTATAGAAATGATAAAACCGCAAAGAGACCACACCAATCTTGAATAATCAAGAATGACAAAATCTATGCTTTTAACTGTTACGATATTCACCGAGGATTTCGTCTTCCATTTTGTATAAAATCTTAAAAGGATAATTTGACAGCGAATCATAGCTAGTTTTAAGTAACATCGACTTCTCTTCGCTTGGAAGCTACATACAATATATTGACCTTTCAAAAATAAATCGGATGGTCATGAGAATTTGAGTACAGTGTATGAACCTTCTCCTTCATCTCAGTTGCTTTTTATGCAACAAGTCCTCAGTTGAGCATGCTTAGAGCCAGACTTCAAGCTTTCTCTGTGGGCAAAAAAAAAAACAGACAAACAAACAAATCAGAAATCATCTGATATTAACGCTACTACTGCGCTTCAATGAAATGGGAAAAGACAATCCATTCAAGTAAAAGGGAAGGGTTTTACGGCTATAGGAACTACAATGCTAACAATGGCATCACAAGCCGGTGTCAGAAGATGTAGTAAAGTGACGTCAAACCCAAGATATTTTCATACTACGACCACGTTTCCATGTTCGGTGCTTGTGTCTGTAAACCACTGTGATTTCAATCCACTATCAGAGGGCTTAATTGTTTTTTTTTTTTTTTTTTCTTCGCTTTCGCACCGCGCACAACTACCTCCAACTTGTAGGAGACGAGGAAATGTTAGTTTAGTCAGAGAGATAAATACGCGAAAGGAAATATCAAAGCTACCAGATGACAGATGCAGACTACCGATGACCAACTCGGAAAAGCAAAGACTACGTGTTTAACAATCTCACACGGTGGAGAGGCGCCTTCTCGTTCCCGCATATCCAAACATTTGCTAGGGGAGAGAGGGTAGGCGTCAACTTTTCTTTTATCCAAACATTTGCTAGGGGAGAGAGGGTAGGCGTCAACTTTTCTTTTATCCAAACATTTGCTAGGGGAGAGAGGGTAGGCGTCAACTTTTCACTA